ATATTTTTAGCATTTGTGATTAATGAGTTATAGCCATTCAAAAATAACCAATCACACTTGCATTTCTTTTGTTACCTATTGTATAAAACTTTTATAGTTCAAAAATTAATTTAAAAAAAAATTCATATTTATTTAAAACAATTTAATTTTAAATTAAATATCTTATAAAATAATAGAATTTAAAGTTATAGTATTATAATTTATATAATTATTATAATAATATAAATCTTGTAATTCATATTTAAATTATTATATAAACATATACTAAGATAAACTATAATTAGATTATTATATAATTTTTATTAAAAAAGTATTTTATTTTATTTTATTAAAGAAAATATATTTTAAAAGTGAAATAATCTAATTTAAAATAATATTATAAAAAGAACTTAAATTAAATTATTAAAAAATATTATTGAAAATTGATTTTAGTTGTTGATTTTAAATTATATAAATTTTAAAAAACATTATCTTTAAAAGAAGATTTAGGATAAAGATTAGAATCAATTTTAATATTGTCCAGTGTAAAAATGTAGATACACCAATATATCAATAATAAAAATTTTTTTTTAAAAAATTAACATAAACATTTGAAAATTTTAATTTATTATTTTGTATTTAAAATATATTTTAATATAATTTTTATTAAAATTTTATATTTTTATAAAAAGTTTTACTAAGTATCAATTTCTTCAACTTTAAAATCTTCAATATCACTATCATCACTATCAAGTAAAATTATATCATCAATTAAATCTCTATATTCTTTTGCTTTAGTAAGTATTTTTCTCCAAAATCCAATAATAGTTTTAGAAGTAATCTTTTCTTTAAATACATATAATAATTTGTTTCTAATAGCAAAAAGATTAGGATATAGACCAGTTCTAGCAACCTCTCCTTTTGTAACTGCCTAAATTTCTTTGATTGGTTGAAGTTCACAATGATATGAGGGAGTATAAAACAAATTATAGTTATATTTGCTAGCTATTTTATTACATGCAAAAGGTACTTTTGCTTTATTTTATTTTATTAATTCATAAAGTTCTACTTTATTAGAACCTTTCAGAATCTCAATACCCTTTGACACCAATCACGTGATTAATTCATCTTTTCTTGAATTTGACGTTGATACCTGTTCAGCCTGATATTTATGATAACGAGCTCCATCCATATGAATATCTACTGACCCATATCGATTATTGATATTTGCATAAAGTTTATCAAAAAGGTCCTCAAAAATTTCAGCTGTAAAATTGCCATGATAGTCAATATGATCAGCCACAAGATTAGAATTGCGAATAATTTTCAAAACATCTTACCAAGCATCTGCATCAGCTCATTTTCTTCCTCTTGATGAAGGTGGTTTAATTGATAAATCCTATAATAAAATAGAATTAGGTACAATTTCACCATAAATTTTGTTAGTATTGCCATTACGCATTACAATAATTGTTTCAAAAATAATGATTAAAGGACTATGCCTTAGCAAACAGATAACTTCATAATGTGGTATTCATGTGTGACTTGTAGTATGATGCAAATGACAATAAGATTCATCCAAAAAACTTCTGACCTTGTTGGAACATCATTATTGCCTTGTAAATTTTTAAATCATTTTCTTAAATAATAGTTCTGAAAAACTACATTTGCAGGTGATTCATATAAGATGTTTCAATGTTTACTATGATCATAATAATAATCCAAAATATATAATATATGAATTAATTGCTATTTTGAAAGTAAATAGCCTTGTTCTTCTAATTTTTGTCATAAAACAGCTGTTGAAAGTGAAGTACCAGAAGCATTTACTAGTGAAATTAAATCATGTATGACTTTCGCAATATTGGGGTTAAGTTTATTTTTTGGTTAATCAGATTTTTTATGTTCTACAAATTCCTTATATTGATTTCATTCAGCAATCACTCGTGCAATTGTAGCATCTCTAATGTTTAGAACTGAAGCAACCTGATTGCATAATATTATGCTTTGATGTTGCTATTGATATTGTCGAACATTTAAAAAATATTAATAGACACTAACAATCATTCTTCGTTCATTGTTAGTTAACAGAGCTTTATCCCATTTCAATTCATCTATTAAAAAAAAATGGCAAGGCTGAGCAAAAAAAAAACCATTTTAAGGTTTATACTTACCTTTTATATGATTGAAATTCTTACATAATTTGATCTTCAAATTTTCTACTATAAGAAAATTTGTGTAACAAATTTTTGTGTATCTACATTTTTGCACTGGACAAATACTAATATTTAAAATTATTAATATATTATTTATTTTTTTATTATTTTTTATTTAATTTAGATTATTAAAAACTTTATCTATTAGTTCAGTTTATTATAAAAATAAGTTTTGAATTAATTAGAAATTTATATAAATAATTATTTTTATTGATTATAACTACAATTTTTTTATTTTCTATTCTAATAAAAATTTAAAGAAAATTAGTTATTTAATTATAAAAATTAGCTAATAAATTTATTTTTATTAAATTAATTTTATTTAATTCATTTTTTATTTTTTTAAATATACTAATAATATATACAGTTAACTCTTGTTATAATGAACTTTATGTTTTAGACTTCAACTTCACTATAAAGCTATAGTAAAGATTTTAAGAGATTTAATTGACTAATTTGCTATAATAAGAGTATTTTTATTATATTTGTTCAAAAAATTCATTATATTAAGAATTCACTATATCAAAAGTTGACTGTATTGCAATTATTATTTTTAAAAATTTTTATTTTTTTTTAAATAAAATGTATTATTTTTAAATAAATTTAATAATACAAATTACAGTTAAATTTGTATTAAATAATTAGCAATAAGAAATATCTTACTAAGGTTTACTTGTCTAATTTATTTTTAATTTAATAAAAAGTTTAAACTTTTAAATTTATTAATTTTTTATTAAGGTATTGATATAGATTTATTATTTTTATAAATTTTAATAAGGTTTATTATTTTCTAAGTTTTTTCTTAATATAAATTGTTAAATTTTACTTTTTATTATTTATTAGTAATTTTATATTTTACTTTATGCATATATTAAAGGTTTAAGATATAAAATTATTATAAATTATAAAAATTTTATATTTTTATATATATTTAAATTATAACTAATTTTTGTTAATTACTTTTATTACTACTATTTTTTAGATTATAAAAATAAAAAGAATATATATTCTTTCTGAAAAGTTAGTAGGTATAACTTTACCAATTAATATATTTAGTTCTTATTTAATTAGCTAAAAAAAAAATTATAGATTTAAAATAAAATTTTTATTATATTAAAAAAGCTCTATATACTCTTTAAAAATTAAGATCAGATTTTTAAAACTAGCATTAATCTAATATATTAAAATAATATTTTTCCATTTTTAAATAAATATTAACAAATAAATGAAAAGAAAATAGAAAATCTAAAGATTCTTAGAAGTGGATAGAAAATCATACTTAATTTGCTAATATAGCCTTAATATTAAAAAATATAATAATATCTCTTGTTATAATCCAAAAAGATTAAAGTTAGTATTATAACTAGTTGTAATCATGTGATACTTATTTGTTACTGGTTGTAACTAAAGATGATACTACAATTAGTTGTAACTATGTAATACTTATTTGTCATCAATTACAACTAGTTGCAACTCAATTTTTATTAGAACCCTATAATACATATTTGTCACTGATTGCAACTAATTGCAACATTAATAAAATTAAGTTGCAACTAGTTATAACTCAATTTATTAATATTACAATTAGTTATAATTATGTAATATTTATTTATTACTAGTTGTAACTAGTTGTAGTGTCATCTTTAAAAAAAATAAAGAGTCAGTTATTTTTCTTGCTAAAATAATAGAATTTTGCTATTGGTTTCAAAAGATCAAAATGATATTTTCTTAATTTAGTCCATATTATACAATAAGTTAATAAATTAAAATTACTACTTTATAATGCTTATTATCCTTTTATTTTTTTAAAGTAATATACCTATTTTTGTTACACTATATGTAATTAATATTTATCAATATTAGTTATTAATAATAATAATGAAAAACAAAAATTAAATATATTTTAAAGAAAGTCTAGAAAAATAAAAATTTATAATTTTATTAATAATTTTAATGTACTTTTAACTACTGTATTTTGCTAATTTTAAGCATCACATTTTTGAAAGGAAAATTAGACTAAAACTCAGATGATACTTAAAATCAGAAAGTTTTATGTACTACTTTATTATTTGTGGTTTTTTTTTGAAAAAAAAAGTTTTTATTTAAAAAATTTAACGAAAGTAAATAATATTTTAATAAAAATGTTTTAAATTTTCTTTTGTAAAAATAAATGTTATAACTTTTATTATAATATTACACAAAATAAATATGACTGGTATTAGTAAACTTATCAGTTATCTCTTTTTTTTTATTTTAATATCTAAAGTTCAATGTTCTTCTTATTTCACTTCAGAAAAGCTTAAAGTTTGCAATATGTAAAATTATATAGTTTAAGGGCTTCTTCTCATCATTTTATTATTAATCATTTAATGATTTCTCATTGGCAAAAAAAACAAAAAAAACTTAAATCTACAAAAGGCAAAAATTAACGAGTTAGTACTAGAAGAAAAGCATATTATTTTGAGGCTGAAGCTAATTTAAAAATATGGCTTTTAGAATTTTGAAGAGATAGAAGTGCTATAATTCCTAAAATGGTTAAATTTTATATGAAAAAATTTTTAACAAAACAATTTGCTAATACTTATCTAAATGAAAAAATTTTTTAGCTTCAGATATTAATTTTATTATTTTTTTAAAAGAAACAGGTTTGCTTTACAATGTAAAACAAAAATTGATCAAAAGCTTTCTATCCACCTTAATGAAAAACTTTTAGAATTTCAACAATATATTATTAAAAAATAAAAAAAGTTTAGATATGAATTTTTTGAGATTAAAAATATAGATGAAACTCCTATTTTTTTTGATATGATTGGAAGTTTGATTATCAAAGAACGTGATGCAAAAACTATTCAAATCTGAATAATTGAAAATGAGAAAAATCGATTTATATGTGTTTTTACAGTTCTTGCAGATGATACAAAACTACTATCAATCATTATTTTTAAAGATAAAAAAGTATCAAAAAATTTATCTTCTGAAATTATTGTATTAATATATCCAAAAGAATAGATAGATAAATTTAGAATGAAAATTTAGTTTGATAAAGTTTGAAAAAAAAGACCTGAAAGAAATGGAATTAGTCAAAAAAGAGCGTTTCTTGTTATAGATAGTTTTGAAGGTCACAAAACAAATCTTATCAAAAATATTACATCAAATGTAAATACTGATTTAGCAATTATCTTTAATAATCTTACCTCTATTGTTTAACCACTTGATGTTTGTCTTAATAAGCTATTTAAAGATAGACTTCATGAAAAGTGAAATGCTTGAATGAGTTCAGGTCAGTTTACCTATACTAAAGGTGAAAAGTTAAAAAAACCTGATTATAATATTATTTGTAAGTGAGTTCTTGAAGCCTAGGCAGAAATTCTAAGAGAAATAATTGTAAAATTATTTAAAAAGTATAGTATTAGTAGTATTAGTAATACAATGGATTAGTCAGAAAATGATTTGTTTAGGCAAGATAAAACTGAAAAAGATAATAATGATGAAAGGAAAATATTAAATATAGATAGTAATTTGGCTGATAAATATTCAACTGATGAATTTGATGAATAGATTTTTCAAAATAAATATACATGTATTAATATAAATAAAATCTTCATTTTGAATTGTTAAATAAATTTATTTTAAGTTTTAGGTGATGCTTATTTTTGTTTTTTAGGTCATTTTTATTCAAAGACAGAGTAGTGCTTAAAATTAGCAGAATACGGTAGTTCTTTTTGAAAAATAATTTTAAATTTTAGTTATAAATATATTTTTATTGTGAATAAAAAGTTTTGAATAAAATATTATGATATAAATTGTAATATATAATAAAGTTAAAAGTTTTAAATCTAATAAATTTAATATATATTATAGATAGTGAAGTTAAAACTGATAATAATATCTGTAATTATGAAAAAAAAATAATTATCAAGTTATGAATGAATTTAAAGTATTAATTCAGCATCTATTCATTATAATAAAAGAACTTTTGAAAAGTTTATGTAAAATATAAAAAGAAATACAAAAAGTAGATTAATATAAATAAGAAAATGTAATATAAAATTATAGATCTGAAGATCAGATATAAAAGGTAAAAAAAAAGTTAATATTTATAAAATCAGATTTTACTTATTAGTTAAAATACTTTTTCTTTATATTTTTGCTTTACTTTTATTTTCTTAATAGCTTAGCTAAATCACATAAAGATAATCTTCAAATTTATCTAGATTAAATACTATTAATATAGTATTTAATAATCTTTAAGATATCTTTATAAAATTAAAGATTATTATATAAAAGTAGTAAGAGACATTAAAAATTGAAAGCAATTTTAAACTTTCAATTTTTCTAATTCTAATAATATTTTTAAATTCAATAAAAAGTTATTGAAAATTTTTAATACTTATAAAAATATATAAATTTTATGTTAAGTAAAAATAAAAAATCCTTTTAAACTTTCAATTCTAATAATACTTTTAATTCTAATAAAAATTATTAGAAGTTTCCAATATCTATTATTATATAAGAGATATTATTATATATAAATGTAATGATTTTATGATATTTTTATGCTATATATATACATAAAATATTTTATTAATATCTATTCTTAAAAAATTAGTTAATTTAATTTTATATATATTCTGAAATTAAGTATAGATTTTCAAAAATAATTGCTATATTTTTCTTAAGTGAAAATAATTTATACTTGAAATATTTTTAAATAATATATACTTAAAATTTAATATTTTTATAATATATTATTTTTAAATTTTAAAATTATACTATATATATATCTTATAAATATACATTTTAGTTTATCAGAATAGTAATTACAAATTATCAAATTATTACATACAATATATCTAGGCCTATTTTTTTACCTTTATATATGCATTTAACTTTATTATTAAGAAAAAGATTTGTCAAAATATTAATCTTATTAGATCTACTTTTTTTCTATAACTAGTATTTTAAATAGTTATGATAGTAAACAAGGTAAAACTAAATTCAAAATAATTTATACTTTATAGTTTTATTAATATTTATAATATAAAGTTTCATAAGAATAATTTTATCTTTTTATTCTTTTATATAATAAATTAAAAATTTGTAACTCTAATGTAATATTAAAGTAATTTTAAAATAAATGATATCATTATCTTTCTCTAATTCACTAATTTTCTAATTATTTTATTATATTTAGATTTATTAGATATTTTTAAACTTTGCTCTGTTAAACTAATATTAATTTCTTAAAGTAAAGACTTTTTTTCTACCAGTAGCTTTTGTAATATTTTTAATATACTTTTTTAATATATTCTTTTTTGAATTTCTTTACTTTATTTTTAAATCTAAATATATAAATAAGATTTCTTAAATTCTTATCAATCTAATTGTTAACTTTATTATCTTTTCTCAATATTTACATTTTGATTATTTTCTATAGAAATAGAAAAATTTGTAATGAATCATTTATAGATAGGATATACATTTTATATTATTTTTTTAATTTTTTAAATCTTAAAAAAGGTCTTTCTCAGATACTAGTTTAAGTTTTACTGAAAAAAATCATTTAATATTCATTTATATATAATATTTCTTAATTAAAATGAATTTATTTAGACCAGTTTCTTTATTATTTCTTTTATTATATTTGAATCATAAGATATATATAATAAAAAATTCACCTATTTTAGTTTTAGACTTTTTAATTTAACTATTTTAGTTTTAAAAAAATTCTTACTTTATCAAAAAATGAAGCTTTTTGGGTTATGATTATTTTTCTCTTTAGTATTTTAATTATAAAGATTTGAACAATTTATTTTAGTAGAATATTTGATTTTAAATTTAATATAGAATATTTTTTCAAAAGTAAATTAGAATTTAGTATTAAATGTATTCAGTTAGTTAGTTTATATTACTAATATTAAAATAGGTATAATAAAATTATTCTTTTATTATAAATCTTTATATTCATTAGCAAAATAATAAATAATTTTAATTTTACTATGTAATACTTTCTCAAGTTTTGATTTATAAATGCTACTAAGCCAATGACCTCTATTCTCAATATCTCTTAAAGTATATACATTAGTCATAATTTTTTTTTGCTTAATTATTAATATAATAAAAAATATATAAGCAAAATTTTAAAATTAATATATTTTTTCTATATATCCTATATATTCTATATATCTTATATTTAATAAAATACATTCTCTCTATTTATTTTATTTAATAAATTATTTCAGAGTATTATATTAGATAAAAAATATTACTATCTCTTCTTTTTCATCAGTTGATTATGAATTTATTATACAATACTATGATTGAAAGATAAAATCTAAAGTTTTAACTGATTTAAAAAATAAATATAATATATCATAAAATATATTTATTAGATTTAAAAAGTTGAAGAAAAAAATAGGTTTACATGAAATTAACTAATTAATAAGTTAATAGTCATACTTGATTCTTTTATAATTCTTTTTAATACAAAAATTATATATAAATAGAATGATACAGATTTTTAAAATAAATATGATTCTATTATATTAACACTAAAAAATATTATACATAATATTAAAGTAAAACCTAATATATCTACTAATCAAATATCAAAAAAAAAGTGTTATTTTAAATAATAAAATAAAAAAGACTAGTAAAAAAAAAATTAGGTCTAAATTTATTTACATCTCTAATTCTAAAAATTTATCAGAAAAAATAAATAAAATATTAGAGTCAAAAAAGAAAAGGCCTTAGAAAGATCAAATATACACTTATTGAATTTTTTGAAAATGTTTTAGACTTGCATAAAAGAATGATATTAAAATAAAAAAATTAAAGTATTAGGTATATTTTTATTTCAAAATATTATTTAACTTTATTTTATATTAATTAAGTAAATTATTATAGTATCATATATTATTAAATTTAATTAAATATTGGAAAATAATATTTTTTTAAACTCTTTTATATAAATTACCATTTTTTTTTAAACCTTTTTTTATTAATTAGTTTAGAGGAATTAGTAGATACTTAAAGTAATAAATCTTACTTATTTTTTATCAAATTCTTTATTTATTAAAATTTTACTAAATATTAGAATAATATAAGACTTATCTTAAATCTTTATGCAAATTGGTTTTATTTAAATTAGAAAATACTTTTAATCTTTTAAATATTTAACATACTTAAAAATAATATTAGTTTAAATTTATCATTATCAATACATACTAAGTTTTCAGTAATTATTATTATTTTATCTTTCTTGTCTTTTATACTAATTGGCATATTTATAAATTATTCTAATGAATTAATAATATACTTTGAATTTTTCTTTATAGTAAAATTAGATAGTTTATCAATTTTTATCTTAGTGTAAAAATTGCAAGATTATTTATTTTACTGAATTCATTTTTAATATTTAAAAAAGAATCAAGATCAATAGATTATTTATATTATAATACAAGTATTATAAAGATGAAATTACTTATTTAAATTTTTTAATTCTTTTTCTAATCCTTTTGAAATAAGCATATTTTTATATTAATAGTAAATAGACAATAGCTGATTATACATTTCAAAATAATTATTTTTATTAGTATTTATTTTTTTTACTAATGAATCATATTTTATTTATCTATTATTTTTTTCATCATAATTACCATCATTTTCATATTTATTATCTGAAGCCAGAGATATATATTAGAGATTTATAGGTCTAAAAATGTAAAGTATATTTAGGTAAAATTAGATTATACTATTACTTTATTAAGATAATTACTTTTACTATAACCAGTTTCTTTACAAATACTATATTTACATATATTTAGTTTTTGAAATTGATCAGTTTAATAATTTATAATATCTTTAGTTTCATTAAACTCTTTTTTTATTTTTCTACTTTAATAGAGATATTACTTCATTATAGATAAAATCTTTAAAAAAGTTTTATAAAATAAATCTAATTTTAAATCATTTTTACTAAGTAAATCTATTTCTTTTAAATATTCAGA